CCCAACAGCCAAATGACCTCTGTTGAGAAAATGAAATGAATCCAAACTGTGCTGTATGGATTTGGGTGGGACTGGCATCTTTGGAACCTTCTTGGCTTATGTACCAAGTTTTATCTTTAATCTTGCTCTAATTTCTTGAACAAATGCTCTTCCTTGCTCTGAATTAACATCAGTTATTGTTGTTGATACTGTAGCCACGTTCTTCATTTCTTCAGTCACTTTTCCTTGTCTCTTGCCGACTTTGGCATTTACATAGTCTAAGCACTTAAAAAAATAAGAGCTTTATTAAGATATAATGCATAGATCATACAGTTCAGTTACTGAAAGTATAGAATTTAGGTTTTGGTACATTCACAGAGTTATGCAACCATCACTACAATCAATTTTAGAAAAGTTTCATCATCCCAAATAGAAACCACGCTCCCATCAGCAGTCACTCCACATTTTCCCCTGATCCCCTAGCTCTAGACAGCCACTTTTGTTCTTTTTGTTTTTATAAATTCTGTACATTTCATAAAAATGGAATCATACAACATGTGGTCTTTTGTGACTGCCTTCTTTCACTTAGCATAATGTTTTCAAGGTTCATTTATGTTATAGCATATATAAAAAAGGATTTCACTTTTTTTTTACTCTTTCCACGTGGATATCCAGTTGTTCCAACACCATTTGTTGAAAAGACTATGCTTTCTTTCTCCATTGAATTGTCCTGGTACCCTTGTTGAAAATCAGTTGGCCTTAGCTGTAAGGGTTTGTTTCTAGACTTTCAAATCTGTTTCATTGATGTGTATATCTATCCTTACGCCAGCCACCAACCCTGTCTTGATTACTGTAGCTGTGTCATAAGTTTTGAAATCTGAAAATGTGAGTGAATTTCCCATATTTCTGTTTTTGATTGTGATCAGAGAACACATTTGCATTATTTCAGTCCTTTTAAATTTGTTGAGGCTTGTTTTGTGGCCTAGGATATGGCCTGCCCTGGAGAATGTTCCATGTGCACTGCATGTATATTCAAGAAGAATGTGTGCATTTTGCTGTTGTTGCGTGGAATGTTCTGTAAATGTCTGTTAAGTCTAGTTTGTGGATAACGTCGTTCAAGACTTATTTCCTGGTTGGTCGTCTTCCTAGCTGTTCTATCTGTAATTGAAAGTAGAGTATTGAAATCTCCAGTTGTTATTGTTCCTGGTGTGGAGCCTCTGCCCTGGGAGCAGGCTGGGGTAGCCGTGACTCAGGCCCACTATTCTTGGCCTCATGTGCGTGGGGTAGAGCGTCCGCACCGTGAGTGGTGCCTGGGCGAAAGAACAGAGCCCTAGACCTCTCAGCTACACTCGTCTGGAATAGAGCTGCAGCATGCAGACATAGCTGGACTGGATGAGAAATGCTGGCTGCTTGCCCCTCTTGGGGAGAAACCATAGCCCTAGATCAGGAGCAGGGTGAGAAGGACCCCGTGTTCCTGGCTACATCTGCCTGGAGTAGAGCTTCTGTCACACTGTGGGCAGGAGTGAGTTCATGGTTCAAAGGCCACAGATTCTTGCTGTTCTTACCAAGATTTAGTAGTATTGCTTGCATAAAGGTTTTTCCATTTGCTGTATGTTCTTAATCACCCTTTTCAAAAGGTTGCTTTTTATAATTTCTACTGGTCATGGTTGTGTCACTGAGGAGAGGATCTGTGTACCTCTTCGTGCTACCATTCCAGAAGTGTTTTGGAAAAGAGGAGACTATTTCTATTTCTTTTAAACTGGAAGTTGGGTCTAGAGTCTTCATTAGATTAAACCTGATCATTTTTGGTGTTTCAGAGGGGAGGTTGTGTACTTTTTATTGCATCACATCAGGAGGCACCTAAGGTTAAGTTGTGCAGCTGTTTATGATACTAAGTTTGCTTTCTTGGTTGAGCTGGTAACTGACAGATCCCTTCATTTTAAAGGTTGGTTTCTTTATTGTACTTAGCAAGTAGTCTGTGGGGTGTTACTTGGACACGCTGGGACTATAGCTGTTTTTTCAGTTAATGGTTTTAGCATTCCTTATTGATCCATACCTGAATAAATTATTTCACTGGGGGGCATCCTTTTTATTTTGAAATTCTTTTTTCTTCAATTTTTATTGTAATTTTACATCTTTTTCTAAGTCAATTTACTTACTACTTTAACATTTAATAGTGGCTGTTGTTTGTGTGGGCTCTCCTAAAACCAAGGACAAACTCAGATAATGTAGTCTAAAGAAAATCATCATAGCTGAAATTAAAGTCACTGCAAGCCTGAGATTTGCTTTTATAGGTTTTTTTT